CTCCAGGTCAGAGATGTCTGCTGGCAGGACCCAGGGTGCAAATTGAAGCACCTCATTCCAAAAATTTCAAGCCTTCCTTTTGGAAAATCTTAAGTCCTCTTGATTTAATAGGGCTCTAGGGAGCGAATTTGGAAGTCTTTTTGGCATGATGCTGAATTTCCCATTATAGGAAAGAAAAGAAGTGTTGTCAGTGGTGTTTAACGTTCCCGAGGCAGCCTGCCACCTGGGGATTGAGACGTCCTAACAAACACAAGCCTGCCCGCAGATTTAAGAAACTGGCAACCATCCTTGAGACTCTTAACTGGTTGCTGTGTTACCAGATTTTTATGAGAGTTGTAAAGGTTATTGCCTACACCCAGTCAGGCTGTCAGGGTCCAGAAAGAGGGCAGAGGGTCTTCAGCCAATATTGGGGAGTTGCCCTGACTGAGAGGCTTCAGATGCCCGCAAACCATATCCAGACCCTCAGGAAGGCATTAACCAAAAGTAAACCAAAGAGAGAAAGAGAGACTCCCCCCCAGACCTCTTTTTTCTCATGGGGCATGTCAATTTAAATTCTCACCTAACTGGCTCAGCTTGAGCCTGGGTGCCCTGGGGTGAAATAACAAAACAGATAAAGAAGTTTATCTGTTATCTTACAAGTTGAATTCAATGTGTGTGAAACGCGAGTCTTAGGGGAACATTCCTGAGACATGAAAGTCACAGGGGATTCCTTGCTAACCCACAGCACAAGCCTGACCACAAGTTTCAGAGAACCTGCAACCCCTCTAAGAGCATTTAACTGGTCATTGTGTGGCCGGGTTTTGCATTAGAAAGATGTATAGATAGGAGGTCTGTGTCTACACCCAGCAGGCAGTTGGAGTCCATTCAGAGGACTAAGAACCTTCAGCTAACATCAGGGAGTAGCCCTGATCAGAAAGCCTTAATTGCTCCTTCATCTTTAGGTCTCACGTGAAGACTCAGACTGAAAGTAAAAGGGGGGAAAGGAGGGGCTGCCGATCTTCAGGGTGGGATGGCCAAAGCAAAGCTGCCATTGCTGTCTTAGAGAGGGGGGTACTCACAAACTCCATGCATTCCAGGAGCTCCACGCTGGGCACCAGCTGTGGGTCTCTCCCTCCCCTCATGGGTCGTTGGCCACAGACCCACGAGAACAAAGGGAGCAGGAGCAACAAACGGGGTCAGGATGGCCAGTGAGCAGAGATAGAAAAGACCTTCTGGGAGTCAGTTTCAGTGATACAGCTCATTTATTCAGTGGGGGTCAGGGAAAAATATAAGGTGGAGGCAGCGGCCAAAGCTTCACCTGATAGGTGTTCATAGTATGCTTTATTTACATGTGGTGGGGGATCCTATCATCTAGGTATAGGGAAATGCCTAATTATCATATAGAAGAAACCTAGGGGAAGTTTATTGCCAGTAACTATTCCAAAGGTCACATTCCAAATAAGGCCAGGCATCCGTGCTTGGAGGCACTTTCCAGATAAGGTCAGGCAGAGAGTAGGAAGCCCCCCTGGGAAAGGGAGTCCTCCATATAGCACCAAGCTCCTTAGAGCTCTCTGGACATGGTGAATTACAACCTTAGCAGCAATGTCCCCCAACAGTTGCTCTTACAGAAGACTCCAGTTCAGTTCTCCAAACCTACATGGCAGCTAACCACCAACACTAACTTCAGTTCCAAGGCTTTACATTTAGTCCATTCTAAATTGGATTGGTCTCTCTGATACCAGGCATTTCCTGGATCTTCCTGTACTTTCAGGTGTTTGGGGTGAGGTTTCTGTCACCATTTTCCATGCCCCAGTGCTGCTGACCCTGTAGCTGTCGATGTTACCCTCTGTCTCTGCTCAGATGAGCCAATGTCAAAAATCTGTGTGTATGGTTTTCCTTTTAAGAGAAGTCCTAAGAATGTAAAATAATTTGTATACAGCTGATTCTAAGTTGGTTTCTTTGTTTTCGGGGCTGGAGGCCAAACCCAGGGCCTCACCAGCTTGCTTCACCAAACTAAACTCCCAGACCCTATTTGTAAGACTTTTGATGCAAATTGCCAAATCATCAACCTGTAAGAAGAGGAGGCAAGTGGATTCTGAAAGGAGAAGACATAAAATTACCCTTGGGGAATGAGCTTTATTAGGAGAAAACCTTGAGACCAGGAAGCCATGATCCAGCCTTGAAGTGGGGAAACATTAAAAAGGGACAGTACATCGTATCAGAGGTGACATGTTGGGGTCTCAAAAGGAAAGAGAGGCTTCTCTTGAAAATTTGGAAGGGAGTTTCATTAAGAGGGATAAAGTAAAAGAGAGAGAAGCACTCTGGACAGGATGACAGAGATGGGGCACTCGAGAGAAAAAAAACTTCAGAGGAAAAAAAAATCTCCTGAACAAAAGAAAACATCTGATTTTCTATCATTTCAGGGGATGGTTGGGAGGTCCCCTGACACATGAGTAAGTCTGGGATAGTCAACATGACCAAGAACATATAAGAGCCAGGTACTGGGTAGGGACTCTCGGGCCACAGCTCTGCAAGTTTCTTACCCCTGTGTCAGAGAAAGAGCTGCAAGAGGCATGGCTTGATTTCTTCAGGTTGCAGATCTGGCCCGGTGTCCTAGCAGGACCAGGTCCTAGAGAAGCAGGCTCACAATCTCACATAGGCTATGTGCCGTCATTCGGTTTACATTCACACTAGCTGGCATGCCACCTTGCTTGGCTATGGGTTTGTTTTCTGCTTAGAGCGGGGACTGAAGCCACACATTAGCTATATTTGAACATGTTTTCAGTCCTTGCTGACATGCACAATTAAAATGATGCTTTTTAATGCACATGTCTTTTGTTATTAACAAAATTAAACTTTTTCAGATCAATGTGCATTTTAACTTCTTGTCTGTGATACCTGCTCAGGTTCTTTGTTCAATTTTTTTTTTTTTAATCTTTTTAAGACCGTTTCCCTGAAGCTCCAGGAGGCCTGGAACTCTATGTAGACCAAGCTAGCCTCAGTCTCACAGAGATCCATCTGCCTCTGCCTCCCGAGTGCTGGGATTAAAAGTGTCTGCTACTGCACCCGGCTCTTGCTTCAATCTTTAATGTATGTAAAAATATTTATCCTACATCACATTTTGCCTTTTTGTTTTGCTTATCGTTATTTTGGTTGGTTGGTTTCTCAGAATTTTTTGGTTTGTTGTTGTTTTGAGACAGGGTCTCACTGTGTAGCCTTCCTGGCCTGGAGCTTTCTGTGTAGCTTAGGCAGTCCTTGAATTCACAGAGTTCTGCCTGCTTCTGCCTCCCAAGTGCTAGGGTTAAAGTCTTGCACCACCATGCCTGGTCATTTGCTGTGATTTTATTTTTTTAATGAGCCAAATTTTTATTTGTCATTTCTTGCATTTGAAGTATCCTTAGCCTGTGATCCTTTGCCATGACCCTTTACTACAGAAATGTGGCCAACTTCTTCCTCATTTTAGAGGCCTACCTGCTCCCCTAGCTTCTTGTCACCAGCCTTACTTAGGTTGATTTGGTGCTCACCACAAAGAGCCTCCACCATCTTAATGTCCATTGCTCACTGCAGTTGGATGTAAGTACACAAAGATGGGCTTGGTGCTTGTCTCAGGTTTGGCAGCTTAACAAATTCCACATGCTAGGCCATCATGCGTGAGGGTGGAGGGCCACAGGAGAAGCCCAAACCGAGCCTCCATCTCCACACAGGAGAACACACTTCTTGTGATTTTTGAGAAATGGTTTTGGTCTAGTCTGTTTAAACAGTTTCTTTTTATGTTAGGTTTCTAACCCCCTAGTTTCCTCCTAGGAATGGCTGTCTACCTTCTGAGAATATTTATCTGTATTTTCAACCATTTTCTTTCACTTTTAAATACATTTGGAATTTCTATTGATATATGGTGTTCTCTGTTTAAGAAATAAAATTAAAACTTGGGCACTGTGGCTTTAGACTTTATGCTTAGGAAACTTGTGGTAAGTTGCGCAGAGGAGGCAGTGTCGATGCAATCTTGAGGCCCCAGAAAGGATGATACCACTAGGTATGTTGAATTCCTCCCCTCTGGGCTCTAAATAAATTTAAGCTTTATGCTAAATAAATTTAATCTTTATGCTAATGCATAAAGAAGTCAGACAGGGTGGCTCACAGCAGTAATCCCCAAATAGGATTATATTATCAGTCTGTAATTTCCTTCTTCCAGGTCAATACATATAGGTGTCCTGCATTGTTTTTAATAGCTACATGATACTAGAAATTCACACACATATCTTTAATCCTATCATTAAATACTAAATAATTTGGTCATGAAATTGGACTACTGTTTATAGACAACATTGTGTAGTGATTAAAACTGTTGTTAAAGATGATTTCTTAATATTAAAAATATAAGAGAAGAAATAGATAATCTAATCTAAATATTTTTCCTAATTGTACAATGTAATCCACTAAAGAATTTTACTAATTCAGTATTTGGCGGGACAACAAGACGTATTTAAACAAAGTGTTTTTCTGTCCTATCCCTTGGGTTCTATTATAACTTAAGTCCTTAAATTCCTAGTGAGTGCAGCTTTCAGCTTTTGAAACACACAAATCAGAAAAAAATATTAAAATAAAAATTATAGCTTGCTTTTCTTCTATTTCGAAAAGGAAGCTGGTCCAACTGTTGGCCAGAAATTTTAAATATGTATACGAACTGGAAATTTTGTTATCAAATGTTGATACCTTCTTTGGGTGTGTGACTGTTTAAAATTGTCAGTATATAATGAAATTTCAATATTCTACCTTAAAATTCCTTGGAGTAAAAAGTATAATTTGTAAAGCCAGGCGTGGTGGCACATGCTTGTAGTCCCAGCACTTGGGAGGCAGAGGCAGGTAGATTTCTGTGAGTTCAAGGCCAGCCTGGTCTACTTAGTGAGTTCTAGGCCAGCTGGGACTTTGGGGAGACCCTGTTTCAAAAATACCAATACATATATATATATTTGTTATACAAATAATTATCAAACACCTATTTTGTTCTAATTATTTTCCAGGTGGTAGGTGGAATTAAATATGTTATTGAGTTCACAGCCAAAGAGACTGAATGTTCCAAAGAAAGTAACACAGAATTGACGGCAAACTGTGAGGCCAAACAACCTGGTGTGAGTAGGCTGCACGTGTTCCATGTTCTAAACATCTTAAGATCACTTGTTCGTGCATCTTATGAATGACACTAATTTCTCTTTTGGTTTCTGTTTTTCTGGACAGCAAAGTCTCAGCTGCACTGCTGAAGTTTACATGAGGCTTTGGGAGAAGAAAGTTTTCCCCACTGTCAAGTGTCAACCACTGGAAATGGTATGATTCTAACTACAGTCAGCCTGCACTCATTCTGCCTATGCTGAAAAGCTGTATTTGGGAACTGAAAATGAAACTTTATTGAAAATAATTGGGGGAGGGTGTTTCTTATTAAAATAGAAATATTACATTTCTTTTTAAAAATATTTATTATTTTTATTTTTTTATGTGTATGAGTGTTTTGCCTGTATGTATGTAAGTGCACCCAGGTCATGCAAAGCCCAAGGAGGCCAGAAGAGGGTGTCCGATCCCCTGGAAATGGAGTTATGGACAGTTGTTAGCTGCTGTGTGGGTGCTGGGAATTGAACCCTGGTCCTCTGGACTGAACCATCTCTCCAGCCACAAGAAATACTACATTTCTATGTTCAACTTGCTTTTTGTCTCGAAAGGAGAGCGGCCAGTCTCTTGGTCACTTTTGTCCATTGTTAGTGTTTTCTGGAAATTAGTTGTGAGGTGCAGTCCCAGTCTCTTAACAGCAGCTGCACACCTCAAAGGTCTGCCTCAGGTGCAGGCAGCTCTGCACTGTGCTCTGCTTACCTTCAGCGTGGTCTGAGAAGCGGGACTCACTCCCATCCCACACTTACTGAATACCAACTTGCATTTAGAAAAGATCTTCAAGGGGTCCATATACATGATTCAAGTCTGGAAAGTATTACTTTGCATCCTGTTTTTAAATCTTTAAAGAATACCAGAAGGTAAATAGCACTTTCCCAGTTGTCAAAGATGAGACTCTAAGATTGGAAGCATGGTGAGGTCCCAGAGTGAGCAATACTAATGTTATGAGGTTCCTCCATCCCAGGCTCTGCACAGGGAGTTTCTCTCACATTTCCCATAAGTCCTCTTAGAACCCTGGGAGGCAGGTGCTGCATCAGATTTTGCAGAAATGTGAAGCTAGTCATGCACAGAATCAAGTATAGGTCAAATCAGCACCCTTTTCACTGTGATCCTGATTGCTAGATTTTGCTTGACTGTGAGGCCCATATTTCTTTCACCTCTGAACACTGGCTTCAACCATCACGTTCTCACAGGCAGTAAAAGTTTAAGTGGAATAATCCATATCTTTTTGTTGTTGTTGTTGTTCTTTTTGAGACAGGGTCTCCCTGTAACCCCAGCTGCCCTGGAACTCACTATGTAGACCAGGCTGGCCTAGAATTCACAGAGATCCACCTCCTGAGTGCTGGGATTAAAGGCATGCACCACCATGCCCTGCACTATGAATACATATCTTTAATGCAGGTTGCCTCCTGCCCCTTTTTCTGTTGTAGATTCTTGTAATGTGTATATAGTCTCTCTAACAATCGTTAATACAGGCTGCCTTTCAAGCTTGTGAACATGTTCTAATGTGTTCCAACCCAACGAAGTAATGGATGGATGCCCTCAGATGTTCAGTTTGTAAAGTCACATAGGGCCTTTTAGGATTAAAAATAGTAATGGTGGTAATAGAAATAATATCAATTATTAAACAATGTACCCTAGAGATTTTGTAGCTCAACCACTGAGTTTTTCCAAACGAAAAAAGAAAACAAACTCTTAGCTTTAGAATACTATTAAGTACAGTAATCAGAACTAGGTATATAACGCAGTGGTGGGGGATGGATACTTGCTCAGAATGTGCAAGCCCCTGAGTTCAATCTCTAGCACCACTAAAAAAGTCCACAGATTTTTAAGATCATTCAAAAGAAAAGAAATACTGTAATTTATCTTTTCCATAAAACAAATACAGTGTTTAAAATCTGGCAAAGAACCACCCCATTGTAAACTAAAATAATGTTATTAGATCTTAGTCTCTTCTCTCTTCATTGACAGCCTGGTTTTAACAGTAATGCATCCATCTTAATATTTCCTGTTTAGGTTACAATGATGAGAAGGCCTCCGGGTTTTTCACCTTTCCGAACGGTACAAGTACAGGAAACAAAAGAAGGAACAACTGTAAGTCCACCCTACACTTCCGTGATGCCTGTCCATGAAGAGCAGGATCCAGAAAGTGAACAAGGGCCCGCTCATGGGCATGACCGGTTTCATGAAAATCCTAAGATTGGCCATGGTCATAAACATGAGCATGACCAAGTCCATTCCCCGCCAAAGAGGCATGGCCTTGGTCATGGACATCAAAAACAGCATGACCTTGGTCATGGACATCAGCTTAAACTTGATCATAATCTTAAACATCCAAAGGGACATGGCTTTGGCCATGGCCATCCAACTGGACATGACATAGCTCATAAACATAAGCATGGTCGTGACCATGAACAACGCAAAAATAAAGACAAAATCAGTGGAAAGCACACTGACCGGAGAACAGAGTCTTCAGCAAGCTCTTCTGAGGATAGTTCTACATCTACACAGACACCAGGGAGGACAGAAGGGCCAAGCACTCTCCCGCCCCTAGTCCAGCCCAGTGTAGCAGTCACTTCTGGCTTTGAGGACTCGGATCTCATTGAAGGTATGGTGGCTGCCTCGCCATCAAATCCCACAGAGATCGATGATGATTTGATCCCTGATATCCACGTACAAGCCGATAGGCTTTTGTTTAAGCTGATACCTGATTTTCCAGAAACAGCCCCCCACAACTGTCCTGGCCGTCCATGGAAGCCAGGTAATAGAAAGAATCCAACCATGGAAATGAAAGAGTTTTCTGATTTTGAACTCTCTGATGCTCTCTCTTAACTTATGCAGCACAGGTATATTTTTTAACACCTCACCTTCTCCTTTCCCTATTGTTCAAGCACAAATATTATAATACAAGTCACCCAGACCATAAAGCTTCAGAACAGCCTAGCGAGACCCCAGAAACCACTCAATGGGACTCTATAAACCTCTATGGTTGAATAAAACTGTGTGCCGTAGCCAAATCCTTTCTGAGCCTGCCTTACAACTTTTCTAAACTTGCATTGAAAGCAGCCTACCATAATTTGCTTCCTGTGATAATAATTGTGTATCTTAAAATGTACATTACCAGATTTTATAAGAGCTTTTTACTATTCTGAATAAACTGTGGTATCTCTTTCTTAAGTGTGTATACAAAATATGGGAAATCAGACTGAATGCTGAACTTACTAACGGAGTAAAGATAATAGTTAAAACTTCCAGGTGTCAGACAGGAGTAACAAGATAGAAACACAAGATGACTAAAGAGAAAGAAGGGGAAGTAAATGACTATGTTTCTGAAAACAGGTTAGTTATATCACGTAACACTCCCACTTGGCCAAGTTATTCTGAGAATTGCTTTTCTGGGCGAAAGTGTTTCTCACAAGTCAATAAATTTGGTTTATTCATTAACTATTCTTTGCCACAAGGGTTTCAAATAGGAATCTGTTTATTTTTGGATAAGGTTAGATTGAGCAACCCTTAGGTTTTTAGAATGTCTAAGTTTAATGATCAAGATGAAAAGCTGAGGAAGAAATACTAAAGTAGACTTACTAAGGCAACCTTTCTTTTTATAATTGAAAAGGAAATATCATAAGCTGTGAGTACACATTTTATGAGCCAATTCCTTAGCCTCGATTTAAAATTGTGTCATCATTTTGCTATGATGTTAAAGACCATTGACTTTCGAAAGTGAGAATAATATGATTCTCTTTTGTTGCCTATAGTGCAAGGAAGGCATGCATTGTATAACTCATGCTTTGTTTTTTGCCTAGAAAAATAATATATGGCTTTATGTACCCACAGGTGAGCTCATCAGGTTCCACTGGATAGTTCCACACCCATGGTCACTCAGAAGGCTCGGGTTAAGCTCAGTGGGTCACAAAACAAAACAAAAGACATGAACATGAGAAAGAGACCCATAGGGAGGAAGGAGCACTGACAAGGGCCAGAGAAACATAAGAGAGGGTGGGGAGTAAGAATAACCAGAAAACGACATGTGTGCGATATGTACAATTGCCAAATATGCAACAGATGAACTCATTAAAGAACAAATTTAGGGAACCAGAGAGATGGCTCAGTGGTTAAGAATATGGCTGCTCTTGTAGAGGACAAAACCCAGGTTCAATCCCCAGCACCCACATGGCAGCTAACAACTGTCTGGAACTCCAGTTCCAGGGGATCCAACACCCTCTTTTGACCTCCATAGTCACTGCATGACACAGGTATACTTACATACATGCAGGCAGTATACTCCTGCACACAAAATAACAATAATAAATAAAATACGTTTTAAAAAGAACAAATTTACTTAAGAAAAGACCACTGATAAATAATAAAACACATACAAAAATGAAAAGTTTTGAAATACTATTAGAATTACCAAAACGTGAAAAAGACTTGAAGTGAGCCCATAGCACAGGACAAACCACACCAAATGACTCATTTAATGCAGCGTTACCACAAACCTTTCATTTATCAAAAGCAAAATATCTATAAAATGCAATGAAGTGAAATGCGATTTAAAAAAGAAAGCTATGGGTTCAAACAGCTACCACGACCTGCAGTTGCATGTGTTCCTGCTATTTGACTTTACTGGAAGCATTTGGACTCTGAGTTTTTATTTCTTTTCAAATATTGTCTGCACTTTTTAGTAAAGAACCAATGATTCCAGGAAAAAATTCTCCCCTTGTCAACTGGCTGCATCATTTTTGAAAAAGTTGAACAGGAACATCAGATTAACAGAGTTTTACTATGCTTACAGAGGCTCCTAAAGTCGTGCGAGTACAAGGGCCAAGCCCCAAAGGCAGGGACAGAGCCAGCACCTGAGAGTGAGGTCTCTTGACCAGTGGGCAGCATCTGCACGCCTGGTACAGTAGCACCAGCCACCTACCAGCAACCCTGAGTGGAAGGACAAGAAGAAACATGGGACACATTTTAATACAGAAGAATGTCCTCTTATCACTCTGTTCCTGGGTGAAATAAAGTTCACACTTGATGAGTTCACAGTGGTCTCCTTTCACCCATACCCATCCAGTAGCAAATTCCTGCGGTCACCAAACTTTAGTTCTGTCATAGAAGCCCACAACACAACTCTGGAACATTCTTTCTAAATTAAGCAACAATTCTTAAATGGGTGTTCTTTTTTTTTTTTTTTTTTTCTTGGTCTTTTTGAGACAGCGTCCCCCTGTAGCTCCAACTGACTTGGAACTCGCTATGTAGACCAGGCTGGACTTGAACTCACAGAGATTCACCTGCCTCCAGAGTGCTGGGAATAAAGGCGTGTGCCACCATGCCTGGCAGATGGGTCTTCCTTACCACCAGGATACTATGGTGCTAGATGACAGGTTAAGGGGTCTCATTTCTGCCGGTGCCTAAGGTCACTTGCTCACTACCTGGTCTTCTTCACACTGCCCTTGCTTCCCAAGACAAAGCTAGGAATGCCTAGACTTGCTTATTATTTTTTACTATGAATAATTACCAAAATAGAAACAAATCCATGTCAGTATGGTGTCTATCAACTTCCCATTATCAGAAAATAGCAGCTGAGTTTTAGGAATTAGGAGTTTTAACTCTCCTGGGTTAGAACTCTCTCCCAGGTTTCAGCACCAAAATATTAGGGATTAGGAGTTGAAAGAGTGTCAGGTGGACTCTTCCATAAAAAGAAACTGCACAAACACATGGAGACTTTTACAACGTTCCACAATGGGTCACACACAGAGATTAAAGATCTGTGAAATGCCCAACCCTAAGTGAAACATCTACAGTGGAACCTCTGCACCTAAGGCTTTCGGAATGTAGTGGAACAAGGGGTAGAGAGAACACCATGCATCTTTTAACACTCACCAACAAGGTTCCCTCATGTAACAGAGGACGACAAACACAAAGGGCCACAGAGGGCCAAAGCATAGAGAATAAGACTCTGCAGAGTGTGGGTCCTTGGACAGGACTCCCATATTAAACTTCACCCACCCAGGGCTCAGGCACCATTGCAGACGAGAGGCAGAAAGATTGTAAGAGCCATGGGAGCAGGGGCATGATCACATGGAAACAGAGTCTTACAGGCTCCTGGGACCTTGTGTACATGAACTTACAGCAATGGTGTCCAGATGCACAAGAGTCACACGCACACAAGCAGACAAAAACCCAGCACAGCACCATGGAAATGGGCAGCAGACCCCAATCCTAGCTGAAGAACTATTGGGCAGTTGGGTAAGGAAGCGCTGATCTTCTTTAAAGGAATGACTCTATAGATAGGCTGACTAGGCCCCAGTGGATGAATGTGCACTGAAGGATGTCAAGGAATACTAACTTGATTTGATAGGCCTTAACATAAATGGCAGAATGCATGAAATCCAGCGAGGGGGGCTCTATGAGAGGGTGCTGATGGGAGAAGGGGGCATAAAAATGTATTAAGATGTTGTGTATGAAATACACAATTTTTTTTTAATTTAGAAAAGAAAAAAGACATTGCACAATTGTAAAATCGCTAAGCAAACCATCCCAGGCAGTGCCTCATCCGCAGGGACTAAAGGTGTGTCACCATTCATGGTCTCTCAAAAAATTTTTAGTAAAAATTCTGTCTTACTTTAGCTGGGTATGGTGGCGCACGCCTTTAGTCCCAGCACTTGGGAGGCAGAGACAGGCGGATCTCTGCATTCAAGGCCAGCCTGGTCTACATAGTGAGTTCCTGGACAGCTGAGGCCACAGGGAGACCCTGTCTCAAACACACACACACACACACACACACACACACACACACACACACACACATTCTGTCTTACCTATCAAACAAAATGCTTTTTCTTTTATTTTCATTTTCTTCTAATATTTCTTAATGTAGTGTGCTAGGCATGCACCTGTTTACAGTCCAGACATTTAAAGCACTTCTATGTTATGTAATTGGGCATCTATTATTTATTTATTTATTTATTTATTTAGTCAGATTTCTTTTATTTTTTTGGCAGGGTCTCCCTAGTCCCAGCCTGCCTGGAACTCACTATATGGACCAGGCTGGCCTCGATCTTACAGAGATCTGCCTGCCTCTGCCTCCTGGGGGCTTGGAATAAAGGCATGCTCCACTACTATTCAGTCAGTTTTTAATAAACCTACTCAGAACTTCATCACCTGACCAAACATTCTCATTATCCCTTCTATTCTGGAAACATCCAGCCATTTTAATCTTCATACATAAATCTTTCTTTACTAAAATATTTTTATTTTCATAACCTTTTAACATCTTTTACCTTTTCATTTCCTTTCTTAATACCATGAGACATAACATTAACAAACAAATTTACCGTCTGTTGTGAGAATTTACTTTATGGGGGTACTGAACAAAGTTTACCCCCTTTTAAGTTTTAGTATCAATACAATGTTTGATTACATTAAGGTTCACCAATAAGTTTCCTGAGCTTACTTACAGAGCATGGATGAGGGGTTACTGACACGTACATAGCTGAGCTGAGATCAGAGGCACTGAGAAGTCTTGACCCAGCATGGATGTTGAGTTCCCCATAGCCTCATGGGTTGAGCCCCATCTTCCTAGCCTTTCCCAGATTATGATTAGGGCAGAACTATATACAGCTGGCTGGAAAGAGTAGCTGGATACTCAAGTGAAAGTCCAGTGACCCTCTTACCCCTCTAATTATGTAGAAACATGACAGTCAATAAGCTCAATTGTGATGATTTTTTTTTGCAAGTAGGCATAGCCGAAGTCGTGAAGATGGCTGTTGTTTGACTCAGAAGATAGTGCCGTGCTGCATTATTTTATCAAAAGAACAGAGACTCCAAATTGCACACATAAGATTATGTAATAAGTTAATATTACCTGTGTACACACTGGGGCTCTATAGGTTCCCGGGTGAATTTATTAGAAAGCAGTTTAGAGAGCAGTCTATCAAAAGCATGCTTTAAGGCTGGGTGTGGTGAAACACCTTTAATCCCAGCATTTGAGAGGCAGAGGCAGGTGGATCTTTGTGAGATTGAAGCCAGCTTGGTCTACATAGTCAATTCCAGGCAGCTGGGGGTACAGTAAGACCCTCTCTCAAAAAAGAAATGAATAACAACAACAAACCCAAAACCATGTTTTGGTTTTGAATGAATGTAGGCAGTAGACAGAAAGCAAAACATGATGGAATAGATGC